TTTATTATTGTTCTTCTTGTGATACTTTTGTTCGAGTGTTTAGATTCTAGATGTTCTTATACTTGGGTAAAATATGGTTATATTTTAAAGTATAATTCTTGGTCAGAGTGTTTTATCCCTATGTATTTATAGGCTGTATATCTTTTATGAATTGATATACTTAGCTCACTATAAACAATGCTCTGATACCAATCTGTCACACCCCAAAACCGGAAGGGCAAAAACGTTTTGGGGTGGATGACGTCATGTCAAGTATCACAACACATGCAACATAGTAATCAATGTACAATAACCATTGCATTAATAGTAGTAGTTTTACATAAGTTACATTTCATAGAGGCATTAAAGTAATACATAAACTAGTATAGATGCAGCTCGGTACTAAACTGTCTTAAACAACAGCTCCTGAGATGTACCTGTCTATTGCTGACCTGAGAATACAAGTTATTTTGAAAGCGAGTATCAACATTTTTATAAATGCTGGTGAGTTCATAAGTATTTAGTGTCATTTGTGTAAGTAAGCATTTTGTCTAAAATAACTTTATAAAAAGTAGTAGTTTAGAGTCTACAGTGTATTAGAGTCCTTTCCAGAAAATCCTATATTTTCTAATTAAAAGCAGTCTTCTACCAAGAATCGATAGTGTGATGTTTTTAGAGAGAAATTTTCCCTGAAATGTTATCATTACCAGAATACGGTATTTGAATTTAAAGAAAGTAGGAGAATATCACTAGTAAAAGTACTAAAGGAAGTGACATATGCCTCAACAGAAAATATTGCTGACTAAGGCAAAGAAATCGTAGACTCCAGGAGAGTATCGACTGAATGATACGCCTGGCTCAGTCTAACAAAAGGAAACACAGACCCCAGACGGTATCAAATGTACGATACGGATAGTAAGGTCTAAATCCAAGAAACACAGACCCCAGGCAGTATCAAATGAAAGATACATCTAGCAAGGTCTAAAACAAAGAAACACAGACCACAGACAGTATCAAATGAAAGATACAGCTAGCAAGGTCTAAAACAAAGAAACACAAACCCCAGACAGTATCAAATGAAAGATACAACTAGCAAGGTCTAAAACAAAGAGTGATCCTAAGAGTGTTGTTTCATAAATACAGTGTTAATACTCATTACCTTAAGGCCATGAATTATAAGGTAAACATGGAGATACTTGTAACCATACTGATTGACACTAGAGTACTTGACGCCCTGCAAGCGTCAGAATAAACATGACATTTGTCACCCCTTGGCTAGGTAGGCCGTGCGGGGGGTGTCAATCCCGTATAGATCTATACACACAATGCCCGCTCTCCCTACAGGAGACTCTGGTTACCAACTCGACAACGGGGAGATCCGCGTCTTGAAGATGCATCTCATATAGTGAATTCTGATGTAAGTGTTGGACTAACGATAGAGACTCACAACTAAACTGACTCCTTTGGAATTTGTGTACTACAAAGAGTGAATAGAGCTTCCTAACTATTCCTATAATATGTACTAGTGTCTTTGATCTCTGAGTGACGAGTGGGGAGGGTGCCCTTGCTACCCAAGGGAAATGAGCTGATCGATGTAAACCTTCATGTCTATACATGTATACATGATATATAATTAATGATTAAATGACCTTCTGACGGATATCCGATCCCACCAGACCACATCCAAACGAGGAAAAGGAAATAGGGAGAAATAGCCTTCCTAAGTCCTTTAAACATTATTTGTATAACTATACAAGTACAAGCATGCATTTAACGAAGTAGAAGCGTTTAACGAAGTAGTAACATTTAACGAAGTAGAAGTGTTTAACTAAGTAGAAGTGTTTAACGAAGTAGAAGCGTTTAACGAAGTATACGCGTTTAACGAAGTAGAAGAGTTTAATGAAGTAGTAGCATTTAACGAAGTAGAAGCATAGAAGCATGGAAGAAAACTTTGATGAAAACTTTAGAAAAACCTTTACACTTAAGAAAATCATGACTTGGTATCCTTTTGTAAAATAAGTTTGAAAACCTTTAGAAATCCTTGAAAATCTTTCATAAACAAGTTTTGAATATAACTTTGATAAAACAATATAAGTAAAGAAAAACCTTTTTTTCAAATACTGCTATAACTGGTTTTGAAGTAAAACATACAGCGCGAGAGTCAAGTAAAGATGTTTTGGAAAACCATTTATAGTACCATACTTGGTAAAACAGTTGACAGTGTAATAAATCCTTGTGCATGCGGGTTATCAATCACATATGATTGATATGATAAGTAACATGTTTTAACTTGTATCCCCCCCATAAAAGCATGTAAAAACATTTAAAAGGTTAATTCATGGGTATGAACTCACCTGTTGTAAGTGGATCGGGCGGAGGTGCCTGTTGGGTGCTCGGTGTCAAGTAAAGACTTGAACACGCTTAGTGACCTATTTGTTGGATTAGTGTCTAAGTCCATAACTATTTTGGTATGTACTTGACCCGATGGTGCATGGTCCTTTTGGGTTGCCTTCACCAAAGCAACTTGATAGGATGAATTATGGAGAGCAAGGATTAAATATGATTTATTAATATGTTATGGGAATAATATATTAAAGGAGAAATCATATTGTTTAATTAATATTAGTCAATAATTAATTGGGAATTAGTTTTGTGACTAAAAGAGATTAATTAAACTTAAGGGACTGGAATTGTAATTATAAGATAATTATAATTTGGGCCATGGATTGCCTTGTATCAAGGGTTGGACGAATTCTATGGGGAAGCCCATAAGGAAATCGTCCAAGGGCTTGTTAAAAGGAGTCTATGGGTTGCTTAGGGCTTAAGCATCCAAATTAGGGTTTCCTTGTTAGATAACCCTAATAGCCCAACTATATAAAGACCCCTTAAGGCTAAAAAACGTGGCTTATGTTCTTGTAAGGGTTTACACACGTTTTTGGCAGCCTCCAACCTCTCTCCTCTTCATCCTCTTGCTTATGGTGTTTGTGAACCATTAGAGGAGTGACACTTGTGACTCTAAGCCTTCCAAAGTTAATACAAGGAGATTTGGGATTGTTATTGCTACATAACAATCAAGGTAACACTATAAACTTATTCTCATGTTAATATGATTATATGTATGCTAGAATTAGGGTTTATAGTCTTGGATTCAAAGCATGTACAATAGAGAAACCTAGATCCAAGCATTAGGGTTTGTATGAGCACATAGGATGTCTTATGACCAAAACCCATCAGTGGTATCAGAGCCTAGCTTGGTTTCAATTATATTGATGCATTGTATAACTGGAAAATCCTTTTTTGGGCTTTATGGCTGAGGAACTCGGCGAGTACCCCTCAACTCGGCGAGTACAGTGTAGTACTCGGCGAGTTCGAGCATCAGATAATGCTTATCTCGGGATTTCTTGCTGTTTTTGCATTTGGATACTTACCTTATCATGTTAGATCAATATAAATCCGATTTTATGATATATATGACTATATTCTTGATCTAATTAAAGATAATTATCAATTAACAAGATAATTGTTTCCTTATAAGATAATTGATTAATTATTTTGAGTAAATTGATAAATTGTTTTGCAAGAAATCATTAAACAAATCAAATATGGATAATTATGTAACTAAATGTTAGTTTAGATTATTTGTTATTTGATCCTTGTTGTTATGAAAAGTTTCATATTTTACCCTTTAGGTTTTATAATTTAAATTTGAACCCAAAAGTTTTGAAGTTTTGAAATTTAAATAGTTAAAACCCTAATGTTTTGAAAAAGGTTTCAAAACTTGCCATCAAGTTTTAGAATTTAAAAGTTGATTAAAAGTTTAATTAAGAATGTTAAATTCTAAAACCCTAGTAATGTTTTGAAAAGTTCAAATCACACCCTTATGGTTTTATTAATTAATTAAGGAGTATAATTAAAAGAGATTTAATAAATCCATAAAGGTTTAGGTTAACCATTTAATTGAATTAAAAGGTTTAGGTTAACCATTTAATAAATCCATAAAGGTTTAGGTTAACCATTTAATAAATCCATAAAGGTTTAGGTTAACCATCAAGAATATGTAAAAAAAAATTCTGGAGTGGAGTTCAAGAATATGTTCTGGGCAGCTTCCTTATCAACTGTAGAGAGTGAATTTCTCAGGAAAATGGATGATATAAAAGAGGTTAATCCAAATGCTTATGAACATTTGATCACAAGAGATCCTCACACATGGTGCAGGGCATTTTTTAGGACTGATGTAGCATGTGAGGCAGTTGAAAATGGCATTGCAGAGTGCTTCAACGCCATCATATTGGATGCTAGAAAGAAACCCCTTCTAGCAATGTTTGAAGAAATTAGGTTGTACATGATGGATAGGTTCTACCATATGTTACAAAAGGCAGAAAAGTGGGAATCAATGGTTTGTCCAGCTGCTATCAAAAAAATGAACAAGTTTGGAGAGGATTTGAGGTTTGTCTTAGCATTTTTATTGTTCCTTGTTATCATTATTCTAATTTCATTGTTATGATTTCATTTAGTAATGCCATTGTAGGAATTGGAATGTGAATCCAAGTGGACCATCTATTTTTGAAGCCAGGAATGGATTAGAAGGGTACGTGGTTAACTTACAAAGCAGAGTGTGCAGCTGTAGGCTTTGGGATATCTCAGGAATTCCATGTGTACATGCACAGTGTGCAATATTATTCACTGGACAAGATCCTGTTCATTTCATAAGTGAGTGGTTTCATGTGGACAGGTTCAAGGCCATATATGCAAACAATATACTACCTGTGAATGGTAGAAATTTATGGCCTAGAACATCATACATAAAGCCTCTACCCCCTTTAGCTAGAAGAATGCCAGGGAGACCAACTCTGAAAAGAAAGAGGCATGCCACTGAATCTCAAGACAAATACTCCCAAAATAAGATGAAGGTTACAGGAAAAGGAAGGACTATCCAATGCAAAAATTGTCTTCAAAGGGGTCATAACAAGGCATCCTGTAAGAATCCCAAGGTCACACCAGAACCCAAACCCAAGAAAAAAATGGGTAGACCAAGATTGGATCCTGATACCAGTCATTGGACTAGAGGTGGTGTAAGAGGTGGTGTCAGAGGTAGTAGAGGTGGTGCAAGGGGTAGTAGAGGTGGTAGAGGGGGTAACAAAGGTGGTGCAGTGGGTAACACAGGTGATGTAGTGGCTAACAGAGGTGGTAGGGGTAGTAAGAGAGGTGGTAGGGGTAGTAAAAGAGGTGGTAGGGGCAGTAAGACATCTGTTGGAATTGAAGGTGGTGGAGTGGCTGAAGTTGAAGGTGGTGGAGTGGCTGAAGTTGAGGATGACACTATTCCTGAAAAATATTTAGTCCATTTATGGAAGGCAATGCAAGATTTGAAACTATCAGGGTATTCAACTGAAGAAATTAAAAAGTCACTTAGTCTGACAGATTCACATATGAAACAACTCAATGATTACAATGACACTATTGAACAAGTTCTTCCTATGTCTATGGTAAACCCTCTATATTACCTTAATGTTTACATTTATTTATGTTATTAATTGCTTGATGTTTTATAGGAAGAGGAGTATCCACCTCAGACTGAGACACAAGATGGGGCTGAAGAAATTATCCCTGAGACACAACCAGAAAGTGAGGAAGAAGAAGAAGGCATTAATGACACCCATGAATTACCAGTACACCTTAGGATTGTGAAAAAAAGAAGGCCCTCTGAGAGGATTGTTAAAACCAAGCTGAAGAAGATGGGATGTGTTGGGACTTCTTCAAATTCAGCATTGAGTTGGATTAGACTGTTAGGGTGTTAAGGGTAGTAAGGGTATTTTGGTACATATTTTGTGAATGCTACTTTTGTGCCTCTTTTTGAATGCTACTTTTGTATATCTTTTGTGAATGCCCTTAAATTACTGATAACCATATTTTGTACATCTTTTGTAAACACATTGAAACATAGTGAATGCCCTTAACATGGTTGGTAATGACATATTGGAGTTTGTTGTTTAATTATTTTAGCCACATTGAAACATTGTGAATGCCCTTAACATGGTTGGTAATGACATATTTGAGTTTGTTGTTTAATTATTTTAGCCACATTGAAACATTGTGAATGCCCTTAATATGGTTATATTTGTCAAGTGTACACCATTTATGCAAACCAAGAAGGGCACCAGCAACACCTCTGTAGTAAGATCTTGTTATTGATCTAAATGATTCTTGACCAGCCTAACAAATATATAAAGAAAAAAGAAGAGATTTTTTTAAGATTTCTTTTTATAATAAATGTAACAAGAGAATAAGGTATAGAAGAAAAGAAGGAGACAAACTGTGTCCCAGATTTGGAGCTTTATTGGTTTGTTGTCAATGGTGATCATTTTAGTCCCAAATTCAACACCAATTGTTAAATCATGGTTATATTTGTCTAGTGTACACCATTTATGCAAACCATAATAACATATTGCCATTTCATTAACCGAAACATTACATGATCCACAACAACATTTATCTATTACATCATGATAACAAACCAAAAATTACATCATCCCTACCATACCATAATACCCTACAACTTACACTAAACTAACCATACATCATCCCTACAATGAAACAAACAAAACAAACCATCATCCACTTGCAGAATCCAAATTCATTACTAAAAACATGTGTATTGTCACACATTGCAATTTGATTATCAGGTTCAAGAGCATTCGCAGGGGCAATAGGGACATCAACATTCACAAGGGCAATAGGGCCATCAACAGGTATGTCACCTTCATTAACAGGGTTATTAAAAGGAATAGCTACACCCCCATTAGCAACAGCTCCTAACTCATACATTCTTTCTTTATACCACTTATTCAATAGTGGTGGGTCAATCCAACGAAAATACCCACAGTCCTTTTCTTCATCCTACATAACATAGCAAGATGCATATTTTTAACATAGAAAAATGGGAAATTTAGAGGATTAGAAGAATTTGAGTGAGTTTTGAAGATTCTATACCATGTAATTTGGGCAACCAAAAAACCTCCGACCTGGATTCTTTCGAGTCCATGATGTCCACATTCCAACCCTATCTCCACAATAGCACGTTCTGATGTTGGTGCTTGACGAACTCGACATCGATTTCCTGTTGCCAATTTGCCCTAATCGTTCGCTCCTTTGACTGGAGATTGAAGAAGACGAGCTCGATTCAATGATTTAGCCCTCTTAAATGGCACATAGGATGTTATTTAACATGATGACTTCCACGTAAGCTGCCACATCAGTTAGCTACCGGCTAACCTATTAAATATCTCGTTTTGATTACGTTTACAGGTATTTAGGACTAAATTGCAAAAAAAAATATATAAGGGCTAAATCGATTATACGGGCAATACTTAGGGACTTTATTGCGGTTTTCCCTATATATATATATATATATATATATATATATATATATATATATATATATATATATATATTAAGTATTTACATTGTTGTAATGGAAATGTATGGGATCTGTTTACGAGTTATAAGAGTCGAGAAAACATAAAAGGTTTAAATGGCAAACTATTACTATAAAGACAATGTAAAAGGACTAATCATGTAACTTTGATTTTTTTAGATACACAATTAAAACCCAAGGGACTAACTAAAGGACTTAGTCAAGAGTTAATTATGGTGGACAAATAGACGAGGATTAGGGGGGGGGGGCTGAGCACCGGGCAGCCCTGTACTTCAGAGAGAGAGAGAGAGAGAGAGAGAGAGAGAGAGAGAGAGAGAGAGAGAGACTGTACTCTCTCCACAACGAAGAGAGAGAGAGAGTCCTACATTTTTATTTAATAAAATTTAAAATTAAATCGAAATTTTTTTTTACAAAAAGTATCAGGTAGAATAGTTTTTCAAATTGAAAGAGACCATTTTGCAAATTTGTCTTTGAAAAACGATAAATGTCCCTTGCAGTATAAATATTTAACTCTTTGATAAAGCAACTCTTAAAACTTTGGTTCGATTCATTCAACTAAAACCCAAAAATATTTAAGGTATTTGAATAATTTAAACGAGATTTAGTATATTTATAAATGTAAGAGCATATATACTCTCGTTCCAAACACTTCTCTACTTTATTGGACATACTCATGTCAAAAAGAGTCTTTACTTGATCTTTAATCGTAAGCAACCCCATACTTGCTCAACATCATGACTTATTCACCACGTCAAAAAAGATATCATACGATCTCCTTGCCTTTCCAGTTAATGTTTAATTTCAGTTTCTAGATATTCAACCAATCAACATTTATTCGTAACTTCTTTGTTTGCTATAAAATCACCTCGAACGTACTCCTACTTTCGAAACCACTTGGAACCCCCACAAATTACGATGCCTTCTCTCCTAAAAAATACTTTTACTATCACCTTCTACTTCATACTCCTTTCATCCCTTTCAAATCCCTCTCATGGAGTTTTCTCCGAGGAGCTTTCAGAAGCCATATCAATGAAAAGAATGGAGAAAACAACCCGCCTCCATTTCTTCTTCCACGACATCCACAGTGGCAAAACCCCATCAGCAATCAAGATCGCTGGAACCTCAGATCCAGGCTTCTTTGGCGACACATATATGATGGATAATGCTCTGACAGAAGGCCAAGATGCGTCATCAAAGGTGGTCGGAAAGGCACAAGGAATGTACGCATTTGCAGCCCAGAAAGAACTGTCGTTGCTGATGGTATTGAACTACGAGTTCACCCAAGGAGACTTCAATGGGAGTAGTATCAGTGTGCTTGGCCGGAATCCGGTGATGATGGACGTCAGGGAAATGCCGATTGTCGGAGGCAGTGGGCGGTTTCGGTATGCCACTGGGTATGCTTTGGCGCATACGGTTTGGTTTGATTCCAAGACCGGGGATGCCATCGTGGAATACAATGTGTACGTAAAACATTACTAGGAAGTAGGAACTGGATTTGACTTTTGAGCATGTAGCTTTTGAAGTATTGTGCGCGCTTTTATGTTTTTCTGACATATATATGGGTGTAAAATGGGGATTTGACCTTTAACTTGTAAGGCGGATTTCGCTGGTTATCAATTTATCATAATTTTTTTTATGTTTTCTGCATGGAGATTTGAAAATTATCTTTTATTTTTGCAGGTAACCATGCATCCCTTCTCTGGTCAGATTTAATTGAATGAAATCTTGAAAAAATTAAAATAAAAAATTGAATGGAAAGGAGGGTATTTATGGATTAAGATGTTCTTTAGGGGCCATATCTGTGTTTGGAATGGATGTCTTAAGGATTAAGACGTGTTGCATGAAGGTTTTGAGAACAGCTTATGTACGCAGGGCGTAGCCAGATGCGAGCCCGTTTTCTGATATTGTGCTATACACCCAACGTAGAGTTGAGTACGCCGAGCGTACTAACCAAGGTTGACTTTTGTGGAATTTATGAAAAAATAATTGAATGAAATGTCGAAATTTTGAGCTCATCAGGGAAAGAGACTTCTCATTGATTGAAAGATCATTTTTCAAGAAGCAAACATGACATTCTTTTCATTATTATAGTAGGTTACAAAGTTTTTAACCATATACAAAGAGGAGGAGTTCCGATTCTAAGCCTTAGAATCATTAAAAACTTTTGAAAGATCTGCGTCAAAAGTACTTGAACTTCTGCTTGCTTCATAAGTGAAGGTGGCGTTAGCGAATGCCATCAGACAAACATCCTTCTTTACTTCTTTATCCAAGGATTCCTCTTCTTCAATCCATTTTTCTCCCTCACCGATTAGGACTTTGGATTCCAAATTTTGCCTCCTTAGGAAGTCACCAGTCTCTTGCACTTTGTCTCATAGGATTCTTCCTAAGTAACATCTCAAAATCTAGGCTTAAGTTTTTTCAAAATATAATTAATTTGACATTACTTTGACGCGATGCGGTTATTAGCCAAAATCTCACCACTAACCGCAAATGCGGTTAATCCATTTTCAAGACCGTTTGGTACGGTTATTTTTGCGGTGCAATTTTGTTTTTGTGTGTTTCGGTTATTAAACGCATGGATTTTTTGCGGTTATTTTGTATGGTTTTTAACCACACTTTAGAGTTCAAATAATTTTAAGAGTTTAAACATATTACTTATAATAATAAAAAACCATAATGTATAAAATAATGAACTTAAATTACAAACAACTAATATCTTAAAAACTTTAAATCATGAGTAATTAAAAATAAATATTTGAAAATTGTCAAATTTTAGAATTTTTGAAAGTTAAACATACAAAAAACCAACATTTTTGGCTTCTAGAATTTTATCTTTATTTAATCCATGAAACTTGTTTTTTTATTTTCAATATTTAATATATTAATAATTAATAAAAAAAAATTGTATATAATATATGCAGTGCGGTGCAGGTTTTTTACGATTTTTTGAAAACTAATAACCGTACCATACCACAAATTTGCGGTTTTTGAAAAATATAGAACCTCATCATCGGTTTTTATTTTGGTTGCGGTTAATCGGTTGCGGTTTATGCGGTTAATTTTAGTTGCGGTACGGTTTTTGCTCACCCTAACTTTCACCCACTTAGCTACCTAGGAATAGGTTGCTCATGTTTTTGGATGGGGAAGGACTTGGGATGTACACTAGCAAAATTACATTTCCACTTAAGAGAACTTTGGGTCATAATTTTCAAAACTTCGAAATTAAGGGATAGAAAGTAAAAAAAAAAAAAAAAAAATCATAAATGAGAGGCTCGCACCCTTCAATCCAATAAATGGGATCAATTGGGGGCTTGAAGGTTGTGCAGAAATGGCGTTCAATCATATGAGGCCATGTAATTCGATCTCAAGATATTTTTAGTTCATTTGGATCACATTGTGAAGTAATCTAGTGGCCTAAGTTATAACTTCTTTCCCCTTTGGTGTGTAAGTCCGAGTTTCACTTATTGCTTGGTTTTTTAATCTGATTTTCATCAAATTTGAGGAACAGGGTTTTGTGTTATAAGCAAACTAAGATGGTTATGTTAGTTTCTAGCTCGAATCTACTTTCCTATGGTTGAATTTGGGTGAAATTGCTAAATATCTACACATCCTAGATTTTCTAATGATAATGGTGATGTGATACACTCACCCTTATATGATTTCATGACCATTGAGAAATGATTGGTTACAAATCTCCACATAATAGCATGATTCAAGCAATGGTAAAATCATTTACTTGGAGTATGAAGTTTGGGGACAAATATGGAATATGAACTTTAATGGTGATTAATTGGTGATATAAAGAGTATATATTGTTTATAATCATAGTTCTATGTTTTTTGATTATGAAATAAAGGTCAACATAAATATCATCACATCCTAGTGTGGTTCTAGTGATTGTTAGGACAAAAGGGAAAAATAGGAATAAAAGAAGGAAAACATGTTCTTGAGATCAATTCTATGGATTGGAATTTTGAGAAGCTTGAAAATCTTGAATATATTAATCTACTTTAACTTATATCCATGGAAGAGGTGGTTGGTAGAGACGCTGAGTCATTTGATGATAAGAGGGACATGATAATTTCATACTTCTATTCGTGTCTTGTTGGGGTTTAAATTGTATGCTTAATAGGAGTTTGAATTGCTTGGAAGAAGGAATCAAAACAAAATTGAGAAGTTATCGGTACAGTGAACACAAGGCGTCTATATAAGGACACGGGGCGCTAAGCGGAAAATCCTTCCGGATTTCGTGATTTTTCCATGATTTCCATTTGACTCCATTTTAAGCATCCCTTATGTTAATATAACTTGTAATTTGAGTTTTTGAATGTATTTATCTGTAAATCTTATATTACTTTTAGAAAAACAGTAATGTACTTTTGGTTTATATACGTAGTGATTAGGGATGGTTGCATGTTGAAGAGAAAGTGGAATAAAAAACTAGGAGATAAGGTGAGGTACCCAGAACATACATCCCCACGTACTATATTTTATAAGTCTTACTTGATTTTTTATTTCATGGTACATTATGTACCCATTGATTGCTATATGCTTTAATTGTGCATTCATGATAAACATTTCTTGAAATGTTTTGATAAATGAAGCCCAAGAGCTTATAAAAATCATAAAATGCTTTTGTCATTCTATCTGTGCATATTAATATTAAGATGGGCGT